AGTTCCCCAAACTTTCGTGTGTAATTCACATCTTCAGGGGGTGATGCAGTCTGTACTCACCCCAGGCTGTGAGCCAAAACTAAATTTTCATCTTTCCTGTGATTTACTAAATCACAGTGATTTACTTGCATATATATATATATATATATATACATATATATATATATATATATATATATATATATATATATATATATATATATATATATATATATATATATATATATATATATATATATATATATATATATAAAACAAAGAAGTATGTGTGTTTGTTTGCGTGTTTGTGTGTAGTGATGATGGATGGTGTGTTATAACAACAGTTTAATGCTAAAAAAATATACTTTGCTGTACCGTTAATGAACTATTGATGGAAGAAGAAGTTTTGGGGACTGAACAGTAGTTGCAAACAGGGAGTTGCTCCGAGAGACAGACTACTCAGTTGAAGTTCTAGTGAATTTTCTTGAAGAAAATGAGCCTCACCTGGTGCCTGATCAAACAAATGCTTATGAACAGATCTTGCAAGCGATACAAGCGGAGCAGGGAGGTATGATCTTTCTCGATGCACCTGGCGGGACAGGAAAAACATTCCTGATCAACCTTGTTGGCCAAAGTACGTCATCAGGGGAAAATTGCTCTTGCTGTGGCATCCTCAGGCATTGCTGCACCACTACTAGAAGGAGGACGTACTGCACACTCAACTCTTAAACTGCCTCTCAACCTCGCTCACAATGAGACTCCAGTGTGCAACATCAAAAAAGGATCGGCAAAGGCAAAACTCTTAGAAAAATGCAGCCTCATAGTCCGGGATGAATGCACTGTGTCTCACAAGTTAGCGTTTGAAGCATTGGACAGGACCTTGCAAGACATACGAGAAAATGACCAGCTCATGGGTGGCATTACAATGGTCATTGCTGGAGACTTTCGCCAGACCCTACCTGTCATTCCTCGAAGCACTCCAGCTGATGAACTGATTGCGTGCCTCAAGGCATCATACCTTTGGAGAAGTGTTCAGACACTCACCCTGTCCATAAACATGAGAGTACATCTACAAGGAGATCAGGATGCTGGACGGTTTGCAAACCTTCTACTACAGATTGGGAATGGAACTTTCCCTGTTGATTCTCTCTCTCCCCCATCCTTACCCCACCATCCTCCCTCCCCCCCTTACTCCACCATCCTCCCTCTCCCCCTTACTCCCTCTCCCCCTTACACCCCCTTCCTCTCTCCCCCCATCCTTACCCCACCATCCTCCCTCTCTCCTTACACCTCTTCCTCTCTCTCCCCATCCCACTCCACCATCCCTCCCTCTCCCCCCTTACACCCCCTTCCTCTCTCTCTCCCCCATCCTTCCTCCCCCATCCTCCCTTTCCCCTTACTCCCTTCCCAGGTCATCAGTGGTGGGGACCTCCTCCCTGGCTATGCACGTGAGTCCACCATTAACACTTCAATGTCGACAAGGTGGTAGGTAACGACCAGTCCTCGCACGCACACGCACACACACACACACACACACACACACACACACACACACACACACATACATACACAAACACACACACACACACACTCACACACACAAACACACACACACACTCACCCATGTGCCAAGTTAGTATTATGTGGGGATTATAATGAAATTGACACCACTGATATCCAGGACCAGCTATCACTATCACAAGTTGTGACCTTCCCCACACACGGCCAAAATACCCTTGACCTTATCTTAACTGACTTAGCGGACCAGTACCAACCACCTCAACCAATGCCTCCTATCGGGTGTAACACACACCTATCAGTGCTCTGGTCCCCAGCTGCCACTCCCACTCAAGCACAGAGACCCTACATCAAGACCTACAGGCCAATTACTGACTGCAGTGCGCCTCTTCGGGCAGTGGATAGTTCACCATCCCTGGATTGAAGTACTTAGCGTGGATGACGTGGAAACCAAATGGATAAATTATACCAACACCACCACGGAAGCTCACCACCACTTCTTCCCCGAGAAGTCCGTCAGATCTCACCCAGCTGACTTGCCCTGGATCACACCTCGGATCAAAAGACTTATGCAACAGAGAGACAGAGCCTTTCATCTCAATGACCACATCCGCTACAGGTCCCTTTGCAACCGAGTCATCCGCGAAATACGCACTGCAAAGAAGTCCCACTACCCAACCAAATTACAACACCTGAAGCAGACCAACATCAGTCAGTGGTATGGTAAGCTTAAAGAACTCTGTGGACTAAACAATAAGACACACCCCCTCCCCTTCCTTAGCCATCTCACTAATGTTGACGCAGCTGAGCAAACAAACAACCATTTCGCTGCTATATGCCAGACGCTCCCCGGGCTTGACACAACCACTCTCCCTGCTTACCTACCAGCCCCCCCTCCCACTGACCTAGTAGAAGAATTTGAGGTAGCAAAACGCCTGGACAAACTAAAATTAAAACGCTCTACCACCCCTATTGACTTACCAATGAAACTCTTCAAGGAGTTCTCCCCGGAGCTTGCTAAACCCCTATGCTCCATCATCAATGCTTCTCTCAGTCAAGCCAGATGCCCAGCTGACTGGAAGACCTCTTATGTATCACCAGTGCCCAAGTCAACCAGCCCACAATCCTTAAATCAGCTACGACCTATTGCAATCACCCCAATACCCAGCCTAATCTGTGAAAGTTTTGTGTTCGACTGGGCTTATGCTGATATTGCAGGAGTCGTAGACCCTCAGCAATTTGGCAACATGAAAACTTCCTCCACCACTCACTGTCTTGTCAGCTTTCTTGATTACATATACCGCCATCTCGAGAAACGAAAAACGTCTGTAGCTGTCGCCTTCATTGATTTCACTAAAGCATTCGACCTAGTCGACCACAATATGATCATCAACAAAGCTATTGACCTCGGGCTTCGGAGAAGTCTTATACCATGGCTTACAGACTTCCTCAGTGACCGACGCCAAGCTGTACGCTTCCGAGGGGCTGTCTCCACCTTCAGTCACTCACCTGTGGCGTCCCCCAAGGCACCAAGATGGGACCACTCTGCTTCCTTATGCTCATCAATGATGCCCTAAGAGAAACCCCTGTTCGCTGGAAATATGTCGACGACTCCACCATTGGGATCAGCGTCAACAATTCTGCTCCCGACTATACCGCCCTTCAGGATTTATTGAACAGTCTCCAAAACTGGGCCACCAACAACCATGTCACCATCAACCATACCAAGACCATGGTTATGCACATCAACCTCTCCTCCAACATTGTCCCACCTCCTTCCATTACTTTAGGTCCGAACACACTCCAGGTTGTAGATTCCACGAAGCTCCTCGGCGTCACTATAGACAACAAACTAAATTGGAAACCACACGTCAGTGAAGTTGTCAAATCCTCCAGTTTCCGTCTCCACCTCCTCCGCCGACTCAAGTCCCTCGGAGTTCCTGCACCTGAGCTCCTCAGTGTTTACACAACATTCATACTTTAGCCTCACCTACGCACTCCCCACCTGGTCTTCCTCCCTAAATGCCACCTGTATCAGCTTACCTAGAAAAAGAAAGTGCAAAAAGGGCATGCAAATTATTCTCTCCCTTCTACTCCACATATCCAAGAAGTGCTCAACAAACTGACCCTTTTCGACTCTCACTGACCATCTCACGACCTCATCTGCAAATTTGGTAAGAAGCTTCCTACAAAATCCTCGACACTGGCTCCTACTACCACTGAGATCCCTAGCCCGAGTGCTGTTCATTTACCACAACCCGCATCCAGCATACGTGCACAGGCAGTCGCTATAAGAACAGCCCAGTCCCAACCGTTGTAAAAATTATCAATAACTGTAATAAACAATTATTCACTCCAGTAAATACTACTTCTTTGCACTGTCACTATGTTGAGAATGAACTGTAGTTTGAGCTTTTCCCCATCTAGTTAGTATATATCTTATTTGTATCACTTATGTGCTATATATTTGTAATTTAAATGACCCATTCCCCAAATATGTAACTGTATATTCTTCAGCTACAGCTTAGCTCTTTCAATAAACCCCGTTAATTATTATTATTATTATTATTATTATTACACACACACACACACACACACACACACACACACACACACACACACACACACACACACACACTCACACCACACACACTCAACACACACACACACACACACCTCACACACACACACACACACACACACACACACACACACACACACACACACAAACACACTCACCACACACAAACACAAACACACACACACACACACACACACAAACACACACACACACACACACACACACACACACACACACTCACACTCACACTCAAACACACACACACACACACACACACACACACACACACACACACACACACACACACACACTCACACACACACACTCACACACACACACACATCACACACTCACTCACACACATACACACACACACACTACACACACACACTCAAACACACACACACACACACACACTCACACACACTCACACACACACACAGACACACTCACACACACAAACACACACACACAATCACACTCACACACACACACTCACACACTCACAAACACACACACACACACACACACCACACACACACACACACACACACACACACACTCACGTCACACACACACACACACTCACACCTCACACACACCTCACACTAACCACACACACACTCACACTCACACACACACACACACTCACACACACACACACACACACACACACACACACACACACAAACCTACCCCTCACACACACACACAAACACACACCCCACACCCACACACCCCACACACACCTCCAGCCACAGTGCAGAGCTTGATATCCTTGTGCCTCTCCTGTGTTGGTCTTGCCGAGTAATTGTTTACCAGTCCAACACGACCCTCTACTGACAGCCCTCCAGCACCCATTCTCCTCAGCCTCCAGCCAGTCATCATTTACTGACAGCCCTCCAGCACCCATTCCCCTCAGCCTCCAGCCAGCCATCCTCTACTGACAGCCCTCCAGCACCCATTCTCCTCAGCAGCCTCCAGTCAGCCATCCTCTACTGACAGCCCTCCAGCACCCATTCTCTTCAGCCTCCGCCAGCCATCCTCTACTGACAGTCCTCCAGCACCCATTCTCCGTCAGCCTCCAGCCAGTCATCCTCTACTGACAGCCCTCCAGCACCCATCTCCTCAGCCTCCAGCCAGTCATCCTCACTGCAGCCTCCAGCACCCATTCTCCTCAGCCTCCAGCCAGCCATCCTCTACTGACAGCCCTCCAGCACCCATTCTCCCAGCCTCAGTCAGCATCCTCTACTGACAGCCCTCCAGCACCCATTCTCCTCAGCCTCCAGCCAGCCATCCTCTACTGACAGCCCTCAGCACCCATTCTCCTCAGCCTCCAACAGCCATCCTCTACTGACAGGCCCTCCAGCACCCATTCTCCTCAGCCTCCAGTCAGCCATCCCTCTACTGACAGCCCTCCAGCACCCATTCTCCTCAGCCTCCAGTCAGCCATCCTCTGCAGCCCTCCAGCCCATTCTCCTAAGCCTCCAGTCAGCCATCTCTGACAGCCTCCAGCTCCATTCTCCTCAGCCTCCAGCCAGCCATCCTCTACTGACAGCCCTCCAGCACCCATTCTCCTCAGCCTCAAACCAGCCATCCTCTACTGACAGCCCTCCAGCACCCATTCTCCTCAGCCTCCAACCAGCCATCCTCTACTGACAGCCTCCAGCACCCATTATCCTCAGCCTCCAGTTAGCCATCCTCTGACAGCCCTCCAGCACCCATTCTCCCTCAGCCTCCAGCCCAGCCATCCTCTACTGACAGCCCTCCAGCACCCATTCTCAGCCTCCAGCCAGCCATCCTCTACTGACAGCCCTCCAGCACCCATTCTCCCTCAGCCTCCAGTCAGCCATCCTCTACTGACAGCCCTCCAGCACCCATTCTCCTCAGCCTCCAGTTAGCCATCATCTACTGACAGCCCTCCAGCACCCATTCTCCTCAGCCTCCAGCCAGCCATCCTCTGACAGCCCTCCAGCACCCATTCTCCTCAGCCTCCAGCCAGCCATCCTCTACTGACAGCCCTCCAGCCCTCTCCTCAGCCTCCAACCAGCCATCCTCTACGACAGCCCTCCAGCACCCATTCTCCTCAGCCTCCAGCCAGCCGATCCTCTACTGACAGCCCTCCAGCACCCATTCTCCTCAGCCTCCAACCAGCCATCCTCTACTGACAGCCCTCAGCACCCATTCTCCTCAGCCTCCAACCAGCCATCCTCTACTGACAGCCCTCCAGCACCCATTCCTGAGCCTCCAGCCAGCCATCCTCTAGTGACAGCCCTCGCACCCATTCTCCCTGAGCCTCCAGCCAGCCATCCTCTACAGCAGCCTCCAGCACCTATTCTCCTCAGCCTCCAGCCAGCCATCCCTCTACTGACAGCCCTCCAGCACCCATTCTCCTGAGCCTCCAACCAGCCATCCTCTACTGACAGCCCTCCAGCCCATTCTCCTGAGCCTCCAGCCAGCCATCCCTCTGCAGCAGCCCTCCAGCACCCATTCTCCTCAGCCTCCAGCCAGCCATCTCTACTGACAGCCCTCCAGCACCCATTCTCCTCAGCCTCCAGCCAGCCATCCTCTACTGACAGCCCTCCAGCCCATTCTCCTCAGCCTCCAGCCAGCCATCCTCTACTGACAGCCCTCCAGCACCCATTCTCCTCAGCCTCCAACCAGCCATCCTCTGACCAGCCCTCCAGCACCCATTCTCCTCAGCCTCCAACAGCCATCCTCTACTGACAGCCCTCCAGCCCATTCTCCTCAGCCTCCAGCCAGCCATCTCTACTGACAGCCCTCCAGCACCCATTCTCCTCAGCCTCCAGCCAGCATCCTCTACTGACAGCCCTCCAGCACCCATTCTCCTCAGCCTCCAGCCAGCCATCTCTACTGACAGCCCTCCAGCACCCATTCTCCTCAGCCTCCAACCAGCCATCCTCTACTGACAGCACTCCAGCCCCATTCTCCTCCAGCCTCCAACCAGCCATCCTCTACTGACAGCCCTCAGCACCCATTCTCCTCAGCCTCCCAGCCATCCTCTACTGACAGCCCTCAGCACCCATTCTCCTCAGCCTCCAACCAGCCATCCTCTACTGACAGCCCTCCAGCCCCATTCTCCTCAGCCTCAGCCAGCCATCCTCTACTGACAGCCCTCCAGCACCCATTCTCCTCAGCCTCCAGCCAGCCATCCTCACTGACAGCCCTCCAGCACCCATTCTCCTCAGCCTCCAGCAGCCATCCCTACTGACAGCCCTCCAGCCCATCTCCTCAGCCTCCAGCCAGCCTCTCCTGACAGCCCTCCAGCACCCATTCTCCTCAGCCTCCAGCCAGCCATCCTCTACTGACAGCCCTCCAGCACCCATTCTCCTCAGCCTCCAGCCAGCCATCTCTACTGACAGCCTCCAGCACCCATTCTCCTCAGCCTCCAGCCAGCCATCCTCTACTGACAGCCCTCCAGCACCCATTCTCCTCAGCCTCCAGCCAGCCACTCTACTGACAGCCCTCCAGCACCCATTCTCCTCAGCCTCCAGCCAGCCATCCCTCTGCCAGCAGCCCTCCAGCACCCATTCTCCTCAGCCTCCAACCAGCCATCCTCTACTGACAGCCCTCCAGCACCCATTCTCCTCAGCCTCCAGCCAGCCATCCTCTACTGACAACCCTCCAGCACCCATTCTCCTCAGCCTCAACCAGCCATCCTCTACTGACAGCCCTCCAGCACCCATTCTCCTCCAGCCTCAGCCAGCCATCCTCTACTGACAGCCCTCCAGCACCCATTCTCCTCAGCCTCCCAACCATCATCCTCTCTGCAGCCCTCAGCACCCATTCTCCTCAGCCTCCAGCCAGCCATCCTCTACTGACAGCCCTCCAGCACCCATTCTCCTCAGCCTCCAGCCAGCCATCCTCTACTGGCCCTCCAGCACCCATTCTCCTCAGCCTCCAGCCAGCCATCCTCTACACAGCTAGCCCTCCCCATTCTCCTCAGCCTCAGCCAGCCATCCTCTTGACGGCCTCCAGCACCCATTCTCCTCAGCCTCCAGCCAGCCATCCTCTACTGACAGCCCTCCAGCACCCATTCTCCTCAGCCTCCAGCCAGCCCTCCAGCAACCATTCTCCCTCAGCCTCCAGTCAGCCATCCTCCTCTGTTCCTTCCCTTCTCTTTCGTCTTTATCATTATTGTTGTCTATTTATCATCCAACTGTTATGTCATCTACCATTTCTTTGTCTTCTTCTATTATATTTTCAATTGTTCTTTTTAATTTTATTTGTCGTCTTCTGCAGCTCTTCTTCATCCTTTCTCTACCCATCCACTCATCCCTCTCCACCCATCCAGTCAGCCCTCTCATCCATCCACTCATCCCTCTCACCTATCCACTCATCCCTCTCATCCTCCACCCATCCACTCATCCCTCTCCACAGATCCACTCATCCCTCCACCCATCCAGTCAGCCCTCTCATCCATCCACTCATCCCTCTCTACCCATCCACTCATCCCTCTCATCCTCTCCACCCATCCACTCATCCCTCTCCACAGATCCACTCATCCCTCTCCACCCATCCACTCATCCTCTCTACCCATCCACTATCCCTCTCCACCCATCCACCTCATCCTCTCCACCCATCCACTATCCCTCTCTCACCCATCCACTCATCCTTCCTACCCATCCACTCATCCCTCTCCACCCATCCAGTCAGCCCTCTCATCCATCCACTCATCCTCTCATCCATCCACCCATCCTCCACCCATCCCTTATCCTCTCCACCCATCCACTCATCCCACTCCACCCATCCACTCATCCTCTCCACCCATCCACCTCATCCCTTCATCCATCCACCATCCCTCTCCACCCATCCACTCATCCCTCTCCACCCATCCACTCCTCCTCCCACCCATCCACTCATCCCTCTCCACCCATCCATCCCTTCATCCATCCACCCATCCTCTCCACCCATCCTCATCCCTCTCCACCCATCCACTCATCCCTCATCCATCCACCCATCCTCTCCACCCATCCACCCATCCCTCTCCGTCTCCACCCATCCACCCATCCTCATCCATCCACTCATCCTCTCCACCCATCCACTCATCCTCTCTCACCCATCCACTCATCCCACCTAACATAGTATTAGGTAGTTCCGTGTGTGTGTGTGTGTGTGTGTGTGTGTGTGTGTGTGTGTTTGAGGTGTTTGAGTGTGTGTGTGTGTGTGTGTGTGTTTGAGTGTGTGTGTTTGGAGTGTGTGTTGAGTGTGTGTGTGTGTGTGTGTGTGTGTGTGTGTGTGTGTGTGTGTGTGTGTGTGTGTGTGTGTGTGTGTGTGTGTGTGTGTTTGAGTGTGTGTGTGTGTGTGTGTGTGTGTTTGAGTGTGTGTGTGTGTGTTTGAGGTTTGAGTGTGTGTGTGTTTGTGTGTGTGTGTGTGTGTGTGTGTTTGAGTGTGTGTGTGCTTGAGTGTGTGTGTGTGTGTGTGTGTGTGTGTGTGTGTGTGTGTCTGGAGTGTGTGTGTGTGTGTGTGTGTGTGTTTGAGTGTGTGTGAGTGTGTGTGTTTGAGTGTGTGTGTGTGTGTGTGTGTGTGTGTGTGTGTGTGTGTGTTTGGAGTGTGTGTGTGTGTGTTTATGTGTGTGTGTATGTGTTTGAGTGTGTGTGTGTGTGTGTGTGTGTGTGTGTGTGTGTGTGTACTAATAATCTCAACCAAGTTCATTTACCTCCAGGATTACTTAGGTGTTCCATCCTAATGGTTAGATCTGGTGAGGCAAGGACTTGTGTAGGACCTCAATAGACTTTCTTCGAGGCCTCCTCCTGTCTCATCTTACTGACCTCGACTCGACCTGTATTTTCCAGCATTTATTAAACAACTAAACATTACAGAGACACAATCAATGAGTTGGTGTCGGTCTGTGTGTCTAGAGAGCTTTTATATCTTGATACAAGTTGGTAAGGAAATCAGCTTAACAAGTAATAATTGTGCAATCCTTATAACACTAGAGGAAGGTGAGAAGAGGGAAGGAGAGGAGGAGAGGGAGGAGAGGTGGAGAGGGAAGGGAGAGGGGAGAGGGAAGGGAGGGGGGAGAGGGAAGGGAGGGGGAGAGGGGAAGGGAGAGAGGGAGAGGGAAGGGGAGAGGGGAGAGGGGAGAGGGGAGAGGGAGGGAGAGGAGGAGAGGAAGGAGAGGGGAGAGGGAAGGAGGGGGGAGAGGGAAGGGAGAGGAGAGGGAAGGGAGAGGAGGAGAGGGAAGGGAGAGGGGGAGAGGGAAGGGAGGGGGAGAGGAAGGGAGAGAGGGAGGGAAGGGAGAGGAGGAGAGGGGAAGGGAGAGGAGAGGGAAGGGAGAGGAGGAGAGAGGGAAGGGAGAGGGGAGAGGAAGGAGAGGGGAGAGGGAAGGGAGAGGGGGAGAGAAGGGAGAGAGGGGAGAGGAAGGGAGAGAGGAGAGGAAGGAGAGGGGGAGGGAAGGGAGAGAGGGGAGGAAGGAGAGGAGGAGGAAGGGAGAGGAGGAGAGGGAAGGGAGAGGGGAGAGGAAGGAGAGAGGGGAGAGGGGAAGGAGAGGAGGAGAGAGGGAAGGGAGAGGGGAGAGGGAAGGAGAGGGAGGAGAGGGAAGGAGAGGGAGAGGAAGGAGAGGGGAGAGGGAAGGAGAGAGGAAGGAGAGAGGGAGAGGGAAGGAGAGGAGGGAGAGGGAAGGAGGGAGAGGGATGGGAGAGGGGAGATGAAGGAGAGGGAGAGGGAAGGGAGAGGGAGGGGGGAGGGGAGGAGAGAGGGGGAGAGGGAGGGGAGGGGAGAGGGAAGGAGAGAGAGAGGAGAGGTGGGAGAGGGGAAGGGAGAGGGGAGAGAGGGAAGGAGAGGAGGAGAGGAAGGAGAGGGGAGGAAGGAGAGGAGGAGAGGAAGGAGAGGAGGGAGAGGGGAAGGGAGAGGAGGAGAGGGAAGGGAGGGGGGAGAGGGAAGGGAGAGGAGAGGAAGGGAGAGAAGAGAGGGAAGGGAGAGGAGGAGGGAAGGAGAGGGAGAGGGAAGGAGAGGAGGAGAGGGAAGGGAGAGGAGAGGGAAGGGAGAGGGGAGAGGGAAGGAGAGGAGAGGGAAGGAGAGGGAGAGGGAAGGAGAGAGGGGAGAGGGGAAGGGAGAGGAGGAGAGGAAGGGAGAGGGAGAGGGATGGAGAGTGAGACGGAAGGAGAGGGAGAGGGAAGGGAGAGGGAGGGGGAGGGGAGGAGAGAGAGGGGAGAGGAGGGGGAGGGGAGGAGAGAGAGGGGAGAGGAGGGGGAGGGGAGGAGAGAGGGGAGAGGGATGGGGTAGGACGGGGAAGGGAGAGGAGAGGAGGAGTTGGGGGAGGAGGCGGGAGGGGTAGGAGGTAGAGGGGGTGGTACAGAGCACACCACACTTGACCACCGTCACTTCCTCAACTGTAGCGTTAGCTCCCCGTTACGCACCTCTCCACAGCGAGGTCGACTGGGGATGACCCGGACGTAACCAGTGACCATTATGGCAGAAAAATAAACACTGTATCTATCTTCATTTTTTTAATATGGACGATACTCCAATTTCTTTATCATTTTCCTTCATATGTTGTTTTATCTGTTACTCTTCTCTCTCTCTCTCTGTGTCCACCCCACATTCCTGCCACTCTCCCTCACCTCCCTCACCGTCCCTCACTCCAGCTGTTCATTCACCGTGTTCCTCTCCATCACCCTGACTCACCCCACCTCCCAGCCTCTTCTCTCCTCAACCAATAATTCCTTATTCACTTAACTCAATACTTCCTAATTCTTTACCCAAATGATTCACCTATTTCATTTCTTATTAAGAGAGAGAGATTCTACCCTAACCTCACCCAACTTCATCTCATCTTTCGTTAACCTACCATAACAAACTAAAGGCAACCATACCATAATAATAATAATAATAATAATAATAATAATAATAATAATAATAAAGCACCTAACTTCGAGAATCAGATCATATAACACTGAACCTCACAATACACGCTTAATGTTGCCAGTAGTAATATAAAAACCATAACACAAAGACTGGCAACACTAAAACCAGATCTTATACAAAGTCTCACCCAACAAACACGAACGACATTATAGAGAAGGATTATTATCATGTACAATAATCCTACACCGTCATAAGCGTAGGAGTACCTGAATGTTTTTGTTTATACCAGGATTACCACACTGCGACTAGTTTGTGATGATTACTTGTACTTTACAGACACTTTCTTGAATAACTACGATCAAAGAGTATTATTTATGACTGAACTTACACATGTATGAATGTTATTTAAAGCTGTATAAATGGTAAATATTACAGACCATTATCAGTTGTTGTGCCCGGAAAGTTAAAAAGTTATCACTATTTATACCGCCAAGACCTACAACACTACTATAGTATACTCAGCGTGCCAGTAGGTCTCCTTGTGCTGAGGTTGAATACTGTAATCATCGTCTGTTGCCTCTTAAGGCCCAAGAGGACAGCAGATAAAAAATACTGTACCAGGATAATAATGTGGGACTCAAACACCGCCTGAATATTTTACACTTTTTTATATTTCTTGCATGCGTCTAAAGGTGACCAGCGTGTGACAAATCCACGACCATGAGGCTGGTGGTAACCCCTTACTTCCTGTTGTTCAATTAGTAACGTGGAAAACAATCAGTAAACTAGACTGGGTATATGATTGTGTTTGGGCGTGACCTGCATCATAGTGACTGGAACTGTGATGAACAAAAGGAGAGGTGCTGGGGACAGGTGAGGGAAGTAAAGTCAGAGGTGTCTATAAGGGTATG